CTGCAACGGACGAATACATGTGCGACTTTTCCATCAACTGACTGCATGGTCTTCTTTACATAATCACTTTCACGGTTGCCGTATCCGCGGTCCCATTTTACCTACTGGTAGAAGGCAGAAGGCCTTCGCTGCAGAGTTATGTATTGAGAAACACAGACTGAACAGTTACAGCTTATTGGACGGGGAAGCAGAACTATCATATGCGCCTTGCTTATAAAAACTGTGTATCCATCATCTTCTCAAACTTTTCTACCCAAAATTTCCCGGATATTCATAGACGCTCACTAAATTCTAAACGAATGCTACAAAGAGATTCCACAAATTCCGTAATAAATCTCACTCTTCAATAGACGCCAAGCGGATTTATGAGAAACCACATGCTACTCGTATGCCCCATCAGAAGCATCTACCGTTACACTGGTATCAAAGGGGGTAGACTTCATTCACTAATAATTTCAGATATAACTTCCCACTCAGTACTGAAAACTGCTGACATCGGAAAATTGAATGCGTAAAAATGAGAATTATATTTCCTCGGGTTACACCCCGTTCTACCCACAGCTGCTTCGCAGTGCGGACAACCTTTGAACCGTTCACCAGGTGAATAGAACTACTCCCCTCTTCCAAGCCCTAATGTTATTAGGATGGCGATTCAATCAACTACAGCTATTCCACAATGTGTTTGTCTCCGAAGGGGTGGCACCAGTAGTTTCCAACACGGACTTTACTGTTTCAGAAAGCGAAAATTTGTTTGCGCAATCAGATCGAGTGTCTGAATTACCTGACGCGTTGAGAAGGTGGAATGTTAAATCAGACGGAAACGTTTTTTGAGATTCCGCGAAAGAATTTCATAAGATGACTTCGCAGTAACTTTTATGTAATTCTTACCATGTGCTGATGAGGAGAGGAAAATAAGTCGGACATTAGACTTAAGTTGCCTCTTGTTTGTCAGCCGAGATCCTAAAACTGGAACGGCCTCCCGATGGAGAGCTTCTTCACAGAGGGCGGGTAACAGTAGTCAGTTACATCGAGTAACTGAGCAGAGTTCTTAAACGTGCGGACGCGACGTTCAGCAAATTAATTGTTCGCTCAAACCAGATCACGAAGATTGTCCAATTTGTTGAAATTTTTTATCTTGAGTATTGGCAGTTTATGTACAAAAGCCTCCCATTACGGAACTGCAAAATATCACGTAATTCGCAGTTTCTGGGGATTGTCCATAGATGGCGGCACTGTCCTGTTATATGTCAGTGAGTCACCGAATTCCAAATTTTTCACGATTCATCCGGCTGCTGGGACAAAGTGCTCCAGATCGCGGGATGCATTTTCTCCAAATACGTGTTGTTCAAGTGAAGCCTCAATCTGATAATTCGTGACTAAACTAGCCAGTATCCACGTGACCCGATGACCCGTGACTGAAGGACGACTGACGCTATATCCTCTCTCAGTGCGAGTCAGTCACAGTTTTGATCCGAAGCTCGTAGTTGAAAACTTGGATGTTGGATAGACCGACCTGTGGTTTCATGAGTTGCGCACTGTTAATGATTCAAAATAAAACAATACAGCTTTACGACACTTCTCGTTTTTTACCATTACATATTTCAAAATCTCCTAGCATACCGCAATACCGATGTCAACAGCTTCAGTGGTTGTGCAGTTACAGAAATCTCCATGGATAGATTATCGGTTGGCAGAATATGGAAACGCATAATCATGCATTCGAAAGCATACCAGAAATGTGTTATTCTGACGCAGATACGCTGTACAGGTAGCCCATGGGTAAGCATGGCAGCTAATACCGGTGTACTTCCAAGGTGATGATACAAGATACACCTGAATACACAAAACGATTCCAAGATAGTACCTGGGAGCCACCTGCGCAAGTTATGGTCGGAAAATGGGCAACCATTATGGCGAAGCATATGGGCATGTTTCTACTAAGGTGACATGTGATATGCAGATATCTGAGCAGTCGGACAAGGACAAGTAAATATTTGGCTGTTTTTTTTAAATAGAAATACAGGATATCGAATCACATGCCTTGTTGGAATTGAGGCCAGGTTAGGTCTAGATGTTGCCAGGTGAAGACTGCGAAGGTGATGTGGTATTATTACCTGAGAAAATAAGTTGCCGGTTGATTCGTTGACATCAACGCTTGACCTGTACCTCTCTCTAGAAAGGTAACCTGACACGCCATACAACCCACGGCGAACTCGGTTTTTCAAAACGGTGTTAGTGAAGCGGGCAAATATACACACATTCTAGTTTTTGCTTGGGCGTGGCCAACACTGCCAAATCTTGCTAACCTTACATTCTGGTATGTTTCATTGCTCTCTGAAAGGGTTCATAAGACCACCTCGTTGTAAAAAAAATAGATGAAAGCTATTTTGAGTTTGAGTTCAACGATTTTGCAAAAAATGCATGCGATGAGTGAAAAATCTGATAATACTTCTGCCACCGGCTGTAGGAAAAATAAAAAGGTACTGAATTGCAGTAGTCAGGAGTACCAAACAAGCGAGCTTCCACATGCAGAATACTTTGGAGTCAAGAGGTGAAATGTGTCTTGAGGTTATCGTGCATAGTCAACCAAGTAGAGCGAAGATGGCTGAATTCAGAAGCAAGAACCATGGCATCAGATAGGTTGATAGACAACTGTTTAGACATTACTAATTAGATACCCGAATGTGATGAACTCGTTGAAATTAGACTGCCGCAATCGAACCAGTATCCTTGTTGCCGATGATGATGATGATGATGATGATATTAATGTACCACGTGGCAAAACTTCACAAGCAATGAGTTGACTGGACCGATCTGAAATCATATAGATCATCAACAGATTTGATACAATAATATCTACAACACCGTTCTCAGAGATATCAAAGCCTTCATTTGAAAAATAGCGTTGTTGACATACGAATGCAGACAGTTTCATTCTGGCATAAGCACACAATGCGTGATAATGAGAGGTTTGAACAAATCACTAACGGCACTGACAAATCACCAAATGAAAAAAACAGATTTCAAAGCCTGTGGTTGTCTATATAATAAAGTGTTCATTCTAAGGCGTAAAAGGTTATGCAAGACACGCTTATCTACGCAGACGGTGTTTGTCGATAATATTATACATTGGGCACAGAAAACTCGAATTTGACGTGGTCATACATGGAACTCGACTACAATCCGAAGACCGACGACAGCGTGGACGACGCGGCAGCTCCGATAACGGGAAACCGTCTCACTGGTTGCATGTGACGTCTTGCTGGACAGGTTTTTCAACTTTATGTGTTGCGGGGCTAGCGAGCAACCAAAATGATATAAATGTATTGCTGGAACCGAATTACTCTGTTGAACTGGGTAATGCAATATCTTATGCGTTATATTTTGTCTCTCTAAAAGACGTACAAACCTGGCCTACTATATAGTGACTAAAATGCAATGGTGAGAATAACCATTTATGGAGACATTCCTTAAAAGCTTTTCGAATGTCATAAGCAGGGGGTCAAACATTCGTAGTTTCTATTAGAACCCACTTGTCTATGTGTGTAAATAAAATGCACCGCTTTGCTTTATGTGGTTGAGTGCCCTCATTTCGCATGTTATTCTCAGGGAACTTGTAAGAAACACATCGCTCAAGGTTGGATAGGCTGCTTCAATGCGTGAAAACATTGTTTGCAGGCTCCTAGAAGCTGATTTTAATCCATAGTTGTACATAAAATGTTCTATCCTCAGAAGGACACTTTCTATCCAGCGATACTGAGCACGACATTGTCTGTGTGAAATGCACTAGCGGCGAAGTAACATCATGTGAAGAAACGTAATTTAAGCTAACTCCGTGTCACATTCAGTCAACACGATGATCCGTAAAGCTTTCTCCGGACGATCTGGATACGCCGACAGACACCACTACAGAATTGATCCAGCGGGTCTCATGGGTAGGAACTATTTTCCTTCATTAGGTAACGAGCACCGTAAGCTGAGTGCCTTAGGAGTATCCACCGAAAGAAATAAAAGAACGCCAAATTCGAAAGAAACCAAGAAGAAGAAAGTGGGCGTCAGATGGATTACTTAAGAAGTCACGGAGATAGGATATCTCTCAATCACCTGGTCATTTCCAAAAGCAGGTTATCCTAGTTAGAAACTGCTCTTGGTAAATGCCACTCCAGCACATGTGCACTGGAAGGTCAACGGAGCAATCATTACCACCAAGACAAGGCAGAATCTCAATGAGTCCGTTTGCTTGTGTGCAAGTGGCTGCGAGATAAAACAAATTAGACTGACATTACAGGAAGTGAAACCGTGTCGAACAAACTGCAATCAAGAATAAACGGTTCAGTAGAAGACCGTACTTCACACGCAACATGTACTTTGGAAATGCTAAAGATATCCGTACTGAAAGTACCTTTGTTCTGCAGCAATCCTGGTGCACCGTCTAAACCACATCTGAACCAAGGCTCCTGATCGGATAGGATTATTTTGTCAAACCGTGGTTGGCCACGATTTTGTTCATTACCACTCCGCTGATCGTCGTCGCCGGCTGATTAGGCACGGCTGCCGCCCCGATCCACCACGATAGGTGTTCTGTCATTATCACGATGTATTGATTCCCACTGGTTGTCACCGGAAAGGGACCCATGACGTTAACTGACCACAACTCGCCAATTTCTGGGACAGGAATAGGCTCTATTTGAAGGTTGCCCCTATCGCATCCACTTTCGTTAGTTGGCAACGCTTACAGGGTACCACATAATTCATAACCTCACTTCTCATCCCGGGCCACTAGGCCCTTTGCCGAAGAAAGTCGTACGTCTTGGTGCATCCTGTGTAAGCCATCTCGTGTCGTTTAACGCTAAGATACTGTCTCAAGACGCGAGGTATCACGGGCAGCGCAACATCCGAATCCGCGGCGTTCTAGGATAGTGTGCCAGCTTTTATTCAGCCTCAGGCGATCAAAGCGACTCTGGAAATTTCTTGTCTCCTTCTCCGTTCTCAATACTCACTAAATTCAAAAAGGCGGGTACGACCATCCGTAACGCAGGATCCTGCCATTGGAGTTGCACCAACCTTCCGGGATCCAGTTCGATGACAAGGCTGTTGGCCCCAATCATGGACTTGGGGACCTCATCTTCAGCCGCTGGTCTTGACACTCAATCAGCCAAGTGATTGTCCTACCCCGCAACGTGCTGGATTGTGAAGTCGTACTCTTGCAAGCGAAGTGCCAAGTGCGCAAGCTTCCCGCAAGGATCTCTGATGGCCTTGATCCACTCTAGGGGTTTGTGATCGGTTTCGACATGATATCTTTGCCTCCACTTACCCAGGGCCCAGACGATCGCTAAACATTCTTTCCCAATGCTGGAGTACTTCTGTTCATCGTTAGTCAGGACGCGACTGGCATATTCGATAACTCCATTCCTCTGCTTTAGGACTGTGCCGATGCCGCGCACTGACACGCTCAAAAGCCTCATGTGCCTCTCCGGTCCATGCAAACTTCCGATTTCGCCCGAGCATGTCCCACATTGGCGCAGCGATCGTGTTGAAATCCTTAACAAACTTCTTGTAGTATGCTGCTCGTCCAAGAAACTGCCGCAGAGACCACTTTGAATTGGGAGCAGCACAATCCTTGATCTTTGCCAATTTTTCTGGCAGTGGGCTAACTTCTCTGTGACCCACTATATGCCCCAGCAGTGTCACCAAACTCCGATCGAGCTGTGTCTTGGCTTCATTTAGCCGCAGGCCAGCCTTGGATCCGATTCAATGCAGCCCTCAAGTGAACTGCGTGCTCTGATTCCGAATTGCTTTACACAGCTATATCGTCTCCGTATACGACAACATTCTGGAGTCCCTTCGCTAGACTAGGCATTAGGCGCCAGAATGTGAATGATGCGCCAGACAAACCAAACGGCTTTGTCTAAATTGATATTGGGTGTCCCCAACTGTAAACGCCGTTTCCTCCAGGTCCAATATTCGGAAGCCAAGTCGAACACGGTGAATTGCCGGGAGTGCTGGAGGGAATCGAAAATCTCCGCAACCGAAGGAACGAAGGATACCCGATTTATGGTCATTTCACTCAAGCGCCGGAAGTTCACGTAAAACTTGTATTTCCGTTCACCTTTATTACAAGCACAACCGAGGAATCGTACACACTATTGACTTCTTCGATGATGCCATTCTTCAACATCTCTTGAAACTCTTTATGGACACGCAGCCTACTCACGGCAGTACCTGGGTAACCTTCAAGCTTGATTACGCCATAACTTGTCATCAGAGTTCCCTGCTTTAGGTCAATCACGGAATCTGTGCCCTTGAGAAAAGCCGCCCCCATTATTGTCAGTTCTATGTCTGGGCTGATCAGGAATGCTTGATGCATGGACATGTCGCTTGGGCGTATCGAGTGAAAACCTGTCAATTTTCAGTCGATATCCACCCACACCTCTCACGGCTGATGCGCACGGTCTGCGTTCAGCTTGGCTCCTCCACACTCAAATGGCCAGTAGCTCGCGTCAACGGCAATTAGGCACTAAACACCGGCTGCACGCCTTCGACGAACTGGTCGAGAAGTAACTGGTAATGCGACACTCCGTCCAGTCTCGGGAAATCCCGATCCAACTATTGCGGCAGGCCGGCGAAGAACACGGACGGCTCAGATCCATGGGTCATTCCGGCCGTCTTGAACCACCTCATAGCCTCCTTGGAGTCACCGGTGTGTCGAACTCTGCTGCAAGGACTTCCTTCGCAGAGGTCCAGTCAATCTTTCGAGGGCCTCTCCGGCCGCATCCAGGGCGGCCTTCGCTCGGCTACTGAGGATGGTCTTCAGCGACGCCAAATTACCCCGGTCGGTCCCCAGTCCAGATGCCCACGCAACCACCTCAAAGTCCCCCAAGGAAGTCCGAACATCCCGATCCCTAAAATGTTGTGGCCACGGGATCTCCATTCCTATCCTTGGCACGGCACCAAATGAAAAGAGAAGGCGTTCGCTGCAGAGTTATTTATTAGAGAATGCCAATTAACGAGTTACTGACTATTAGATAAAGGAGCAAAACTCTCACATGCAGCTTATTTACAAAAACTGAACATCCATCTTCTCTTGAAAGAGTCCTCCTCAACTTTCCCGGATATTCATTGACTGTTGCTCAAATCCATGCAAATACTAAAAGCGACTAAACAAATTCGGCAAGAGATTCCACCATTCAACAGACGCAAAGCGAATTTACAAGAACAAAATATACTACTACCATGCGTTCCCGAACAGTAGTATCACCGTTACACCGGGGCAACGCTGTACTTTACTGAAAAGATATGCGACTAGTGTTCGGTTAGCGTTTGTCGTTCCTGTTTGTTTGTTTAGCCATCGTTATGTATGGCTATATGCTTTTCTCACCCTGGTCCCGATTGGTCAGCTGTGAATGTAAAGCACACGTTTGTGCACGTATCCCTATTGGTTGATATATTTCAGTGTCCAGTGCAACAAGAGTGCTCTTATTAAGAGACCTCGTAAGCAGAGTGGAGATTTAGTTAGTCGCTTCCTTTCGTACGACGGACAATGCGCTATCATTTTGTTTCTATCCTGCTGGTTATTATTCTGCTGGTACCGAAGGGTGAGTTACCTGCAGAGAAGTTATCGTGCTATCATTAGGTAACGAGAGCGCGGTGTCATTTGATATTCGCAAACATTGATTCTTTTGTGCAGTTAGTAGCAGAAACATGAACCGGTGCGATTTTTAAAACAGAAGACTGGCGCGTTGCAGTGTTGATGCATCGCATTCTGAGGTACTCCGTTTTCAAGCACCGTTTGTCATAAACGACTTGAGGTGAAGATCAGTTTTGCGTGTTCTTCCTTGGCTGTCAAATTGTCAATTCATAGGGTCTTTTCATGACGCATTGTTTAGATAACTGATAGAAAATTTTGCTAACCTCGTGGTTGACTTTCTTTTCTCTTCAGAAATGCATAGTCTCCACACTCATCTCAACCACACTTTGAGCTAGAGTTTTGCTGTGTAGAAGTGAATACGTATTTTCAAATCGGATGGTGTGCACTGGGATTCCCGATAACCCTCTCGTATACTGCATTTCATCTAAATTTACTGCTCTCGGACCGCCTTGGATTTTATTCACTATGTTGTCCATTGTATCAGAGTAAACACTAGGCATAGATCCAACGAGATTTTTTAAATAGCCTAATAAAAGCTCCTATGTTCCTTAGCGCCCGGAAGAGATTATCACTTGAAGTCATACTACTGGCAACCGCTGGCTGTGCAAAATTTTCCAATATTTTCAATTCAGGCACTGTGGCAATGTGTAGAAATTTTCTGTGGTACAGGTTGAACAT